GGCAGACAGTTTATGACGCAAAATGGGGTTTGATTGGAGCGTGTGTGGATGCGACGATTATGCCTAAGGAATGTTAAAAACCTGAAATGTCCGTTATCGACATCACAATGAAATGAGTCTGAGGATCGCGGCTGCTGCTTAATTCAACACAAACCTACGTACCCATCCGTAGTCATCTAACATATACACATCTTAAATACCAGCAAAATTGAGCGATTGCACCAGAACTTTAATAGCGTCTTCCCGGCTATACAATTTACTTACGAAGAAGCAACAGGCGATTCCTTCCCGTTGTAAGATGTAAGTATACGAAAACTTAGTGACGAAAAACTAGCACTAAGCGTCCACTTAGAACACCCTGGTGACGGAATCATACTTAACCATGAACGCAAACATCCTGCAGCGAATAAAAGAAGCTGTGTCCGCACTCTTTTCGATCGGGCTTATCGCATCTGCAACATTGGTGACTTACTTAAGAAAGAATTGGCCTACTTACAGCGGTCATTCCGTTCCAACGGATATCCTGTCAATTTTGTAAAAAACTGTCTCAGACGCCAGAGACAACATTAAAGCCCCGAGTCTAATGAAGATAGTGTCACAGAAAGTCTTTTTACTGCCGTACATTCAAGGACTGTCGGAAACACTCTCCAGACAATTAAAACGCTTTGGCATATCCATTGCACACAAGCCCACATCTTCCCTACGCGAGACATTATGCCGAGTAAAGGACCCGGTGCCCAAAGAACAAATAACTAACGTCATCTAGCGTATACCGTGCGCCAACTGCCCTTGTGGTTATATTCGCCATACAGGCCGATGTCTTGGGACTCGCATTAACGAGCAGAAGTTAGCCCTAGGTCGACGTGACCCCCCTGTGTCTCGTGTTTACGCACGCCCGTGAGAATGACCACCGCTTCATTTGGGACGGTACTCAAGTGATTGCAAGTGGTAACACCATTGCATTCTGGCACGACCAGCATCAACCGCCACGTCAGTCTAGACGCTCATTATGAGGGCTTACGTACACGTTCACTGTCCTGTCTCCACACGCTAACAACTGCTAACTACCACTCGGCCACAGAGACATACGCTGTCTAGCCAATCCGCCCCCCCCCCCACCTTGCGACACAGTGAAATCCAACTAAAACTCCTAGCACCTCCAACGCCGGCGCATTGCCCCTTGACCTCATCCCGCATCAGTGACCCGCCGCCCTCATTCCCACTGATCCGCAAATCCTCCGCCTTTTCTTCACCTACAACGCAGGCCGCCCTAACAATTCTTACTGATCTTCCCCTGCCCACAGCCTACCATGACTCGGTGCCTACTCCACTCACGCATCTGTCCACCACACCCTCATCAGGCGAAAAGACGCTTTAGGACATACCCCGCCCCTTCCCCCCCTGCCGCCTTCACTTCATATGTAAGAACAACCGTTTTGACATGACTGTCACCCACCTATAAATACTGTGAGGCGCGATAACACACTCACCTCCGACAATGGAAGCTTGTATGCTCTTGAAACGTCAGGACAGTAAAACTATGGTTCCCGAGATCGCCTTTTATTCCCATATATATATATATATGTTAGGGGGCACTCACCGATCGTTCATACGGAACTGACTCCTTCCGTTGTGCCATAAGGGTTCTCTCTCGAGGCCAACCTGCAGCCGCGCAGCGGCGCATTATATATAGGCAGAATGCTACTACCGACAAAGACAAGGGAGACTGGACTGGCCATTTCTGGCTTATTGGCCGTCGTCAGCCAGCCATACCCAAGCCCGAAGTGTGGAACACCCGAGCCTCGAACTGGCGACCTGTTAATTTAAAAGTCAACGCCTCTAATCACCGGGCCACGAGCCTGTTGCCTTGTCGGTTTCCGATCGGGAATATACAATGTTAGGGGGCGCTCACCGATCGTTCATACGGAACTCACTCGTTCCGTTGTGCCTTAAGGGCTCTCTCTCGAGGCCAACCTGCAGCCGCGAAGCGGCGCATGATATATAGGCCGAATGCTATTACCGACAAAGACAAGGGAGACTGGACTGGCCATTTCTGGCTTATAAGCCGTCGTCAGCCAGCCATACCCAAGCCCGCAGTGTGAAACACCCGAGCCTCAAACTCGCGACCTGTTGGTTTAGAAGTCAACGCCTCTACTCACCCCCAAACATTGTATATTCGCGATCGAAAATCGCCAAGGCAACGGGGTCGTGGCCCGGTGAGTAGAGGCGTTGACTTCTAAACCAACAGGTCGCGAGTTCGAGGCTCGAATGTTCCACACTTAGGGCTTGGGTATGGCTGGCTGACGACGGCTAATAAGCCAGAAATGGCCAGTCCAGTCTCCCTTGTCTTTGTCGGTAATAGCATTCTGCCTATATATCATGCGCCGCTGCGCGGCTGCAGGTTGGCCTCCAGAGAGAGCCCTTAAGGCACAACGGAAGGAGTGAGTTCCGTATGAACGATCGGTGAGCGCCCCCTAACATTGTATATTCCTGATCGAAAACCGACAGGGCAGCTGGCTCGTGGCCCAGTGAGTAGAGGCGTTGACTTCTAACCCAACATGTCGCGAGTTCGAGGCTCGGGTGTTCCACAATTCGGGCTTCGGTATGGCTGGCTGACGACGGCTAATAAGCCAGAAATGGCCATTCCAGTCTCCCTTGTCTTTGTCGGTAATAGCGTTCTGCCTATATATATATATATATATATATATATATATATATATATATATATATATATATGGATATAAGCGAAAATGCTGACCCCAGGTGTAGAAATGGAAGAAGGAGATAAGGCGTTCTCTGGGGAGGAAGATTTAATCGTCTGACGTTTCATACTCGTACTCGAGCACATCATCGGAGACAGGCCAAACGAGAAATACATGGTTTAAATAGGCCATTCGTGCCCGCGCCTGATAGGTTGATCTCGCTCTCCTCTTATTGGTTCTCCCAGAGAACGCCTTATCTCCTTCTTCCATATATATATATGAATAATGGAGGTAGTATGCATTCCGAGGCGATATAATAAAAGGAGAAGGCTCGTCGGAAAATCGAGGTATACTCGTGAATTTTCAAGTCGGTTACACCAACCCGTCGTCAGACGAAAATGAAAAGTGTGAGGGAGATAATCCTACTGGGGAGTCAGGGGGACATCGAGGTTACATCGACAAGACAGGCGTTTATGTGTGTGGGTGAAGAACGTGTTTGGATAGGTGGCGGACGTTAGGGGTGGCGTTGGGGGTTTCACGCATGGTTCCCTCTGTGGGGGAGGTGCTGAATCCATGATATTCTACATGGCCGAACATGGATTAGCAGTTGGTGGCTTAGAGTGGGCGCAAGCCGGCGAACCGTGAACGTAAGCCTTCGTATTGAGCGTCCAAGTCGACATGGCGGTTGATACTATTACTATTAGAGTGCCAAGCTTCTAGAAACTCTCGCGCTTGTTTGGTGTTGGCACTAGCGATCACTTCGGTCCCCTCCCAGTTGAAGCGGTGATCACACTCAAGGGAGTGCGCAAACACGAGAGACAAGGGGTCCCGTCCGCGGATGCCAACTTATGTTCGTTAATGCGGGTCCCAAGTCGTCGGCCGGTATGCCCAACATAAACGCTAGAGCAGTTTGAACATGGAATGCGGTAAATGACATTTGTTTGCTGCTCCTTCGGTATGGGGTCTTTTACCCGGGATAATGTCGTGCGCAATGAAGACGCCGGTTTGTGGGCGATGGAAATGCCGAATCGATTTAATTGTCGCGCGATCGCTTCGGAAATTCTCGGCATGTAGGGCAAGGAATAGAATTTCCGTGATACTCTGTCTCCGTTAGAGTCGGCGTTTTGTGGTTGTTGTTGACGTCTGAGACAATTTTTCACAAAGCTCGCCGGGTATCCGTTGAGTCGGAAAAAGCGATGCAAGTAGGCCAGTTCATCTTTGAGTAAATCGGCGTTACTGCAGTAACGATAGGCCCTGTGGAAAAGGGTCCGAACACAGCTTCTTTTATGGGCTGCTGGGTGGTTACTCTGATAGCTCAGGATGATCTCCGCGTCAGAGCTTTTCCGATGAACGCTTGTTGCGATGCCGCCGTCACTGAGCTTTTGTATGCTCACGTCTAGGAACGGGAGGGTGCCTCCTTTTGCATCTTCACGAGTGAATTGTGGTGCTGGGAATGCGCCATTCAAGCTCTGGTGAAATCGCTCAACTTCGCAGGTCTTAACGATGACAAATGTGTCATCTACGTATCTGAGCCACGTTTTTGGTTGGAAACTTTGCACAACATCTTGTTTTAGTCGTTGTAAGACTAGTTCTGCAAGTAGCCCCGAAATTGGCGAACCCATTGGGGTGCCCTTAACCTGCTGGAAGTATTTGCCATCGAATTGGCTATAGTTATTGAGGCAGAGCTTAAGCAATTCTAGAACGTGATGTGTTGGAAGGTCGATCGGATTGTCTCGTAAGCGATGGGCCACGCTCTCAATGGCAAGGTCATGTGGTATTGAGGAAGAAAATATATATATATATATATATATTTTATATCATCCCCCGAGGAAGACGAAGAAGAGAAATCGATTTAATGGACCAGGTTGTATTCAGACTGACGTTTCGGAAACACACTCGTTTCCAACATCAGAGTCGTGCGCTGACGTTTCCTGCTGGCCTTGATCTGTTAAGCCTTGCCGCCTGCCTCGTATTATAACCGTGCACAGCGCACGTTTGCTGACTAGCCTGCTTTCCGTTGGCTGATTGTCGCCTGCCTGATCTCAGCCATTGGTGGACTGGCGTGGCTTGTGTCCACCTCACGCCTAACGTGGTTGCCGCGGCGTCGGCGTGCTCGTTCGCCTCCCCCTCGTCAAACGGCGGGCTGATCGGTCTTTGTTTCTCAGGCGTGGTGTTTCCGGCCTCGCGAGTACGTCCGTGAGACGGTGTGCCACGCCGGTCACGTGACATTCGGTCAGCGCCTTCTCCTCTCTCCGCAAGCGTCGGCGGTCGACCCCGTGTGGCTCTGCTCATCCGTGCCATCGGCCCTGCCTGGACTGACTCGAGTCTTGCGCGGAGCGCCTGGTAGGCTGGATGTAGGTCTATGGCCCGGTTGAGTGTGCCAGTCGAGGACCAAATTTCCAGCATTAGTCTGGCCATTTTATCATTGGCTCGGCCGACCACACTTGCTTTCTCGAAGGCAAAACAGTGATTCCGCTCTAGTGTGTGGCCATACACCAACGACAACTTATCCTTGCGGTTGATTGCTAGCTGGTGCTCGTGCAATCTTGTGCCGAGGCGTTTTCCCGTTTCACCAACATACCTGGCATCACAATCTTGGCATGGTATGCTGTAGACCACCGCTGATTGTTCTGTCACCGGGAGAGGGTCTTTGGGCCTCATAATTTGCTGTCTGATTGTTGATGCTGGTTTATGGGCCACACCAATTCCAAAAGGTTTCAGAATTCTTGAAGTTGCCTCTGAAACGTTTCGCCTCGTGGCAGGGGCGTTTTTGGTCTCATGACCAGACCTCTAATTGTCGCTTCGGGCTTATGGGCGATGCCGATACCCAATGGTTGCAAAATACGAGCAACTGCCTCGGAAGCACATTGGGTATCGGCATCGCCCATAAACCCGAAGTGACAATTCGACGTCTGGTCATGATACCAAAAACGCCCCTGCCACGAGGCGAAACCGCCAATAGTGTCTATCGGATCCCGTGTACCTCCTGTGAAGCCAACTACTTTGGGGAAACTGGGAAGAGATTGCAGACCCGCATGGACGAGCATGCAAGAGCGGTGAGAAGAATGGATCATCTCTCGCTGGTGGCGGAACATTGCGCAGCTTTCGACCATGCCTTCGCCTTCCAAGACGCCGAAGTCTTGGGCCAAAGGGAGCGATCAAACGGTCAGGGAGACGCTCGAAGCCTGGCACACCACAACTACCTCGATTAACCGCTGCGTAACTTTGCCGGCCGCCTACCAAGCCTTACGGGCGAAATTCAATAAGCAGGGCCACCGACGAGGCGTCAGGCCAGAGACGGCAGCAGTCGAACCCAAACCCAGCGGAAACACAGACGGGCATAGACAGGAATCGGGAACCGACGAAACCAGGGGACAGCCGGCGACGAACACAAACCTAGGAGACCGCCTTCTGGGTCCGAACACAGACAGACGCCAGTCCCTGGGGAGAGCGCCAGACAGTGACAGGACCCCCCAGCCCGACGTCAACACCAGCATGACAACCACCATCAACACAGTTACGGACAGGTATGAAAGGGGCAGCGAGGCGGGAACCCACGACAGTGACAGGCATCCCCTGCCCGACGTCAACACTAGCATGGTAACCACCGTCCACACGGGTACGGGCGTGTGCGAACAGGGCAGGAAGGCGAGAGGCGCGGAGGGCAGACAACGGACAATGCAAACAAGAGCAATGGCCGCGGTCACCCTGATGCCGCTCCCCTTCTCACAACCGACGAAGAATGAGGAGGAATCGTTGCCGCCATGACAACAAATCGCCAAGCTTTGAGATGCAGCGCGCTGGCAGTCAGGGACACGCCAGTACGAAGAATAAAAACCCATAAATACTGTGACGTGCAGTACGCAAACCACCTGCGATGATGGAAGCTTGTTTGCTTTCGAAACGTCAGGCAAATATACCTATGGTTCCTGCGAATGCCTTATCTTCTCATACATTTATATATTTATATATGTATCAGCGAGGAGGGACGACAGAGAATGCGGGTAGATTGATACAGTACTGTTTCGGGCTTATTCTGCCTTCATTCAGCCAATTATAACCCTGACCACCAGCAGCTGCGACCAGAAACACAAACATGCGCACAGACGCACCTGGCGCAGTCGGTCCACCACTGCGGCCTACCAGATGGGTCATAAGCACTTTATCGAACCGAAGTTCATCGGTGCCTCACCACCTGTCATTCTCTGTCGCTGCAGATCGGGTAATTATCAATCAGGAATGGGCGCACACCGATCTATTGGCTTCACAAAGCAAACAAGCTCCGTATGTGTGGCAAAGGTAGTGTGTTGGGGATACAGCTGTGTGTTCTGAGCCCTCCGTCAGCCTTTTCAGATGGTTGCTCAGGGCTCATAACACACAGCTGTATCCCCAACACACTTCCTGGAAAGACTCCGAGGCGTCAAAATAACCCCCGACGAAAAATTTGGTGTCCTTCGACGTCGTCTCTCTTTTCACCTCCATCCCTAAATAATTGGCCACGGGGGTCATAAGTGACCTACTGGAGAGGAGGTACGATGAAGAGGAAAGACCTCTGAAAAGAAAGCACATAATGGAGCTACTGGACTACTGTTTGAGCACATACTTTACGTTTAATGGCCAGGTGTACGAGCAAATGCAGGGAACTCCGATGGGACCACCAATCTCCGGCTACCTAGCTGAGGCGGTTCTACAAGAACTGGAAACACGGGTCTTTCAGTCCTACATGCCAAAATTCTGGATGCGCTATGTGGATGACACCTTTGTCATCCTACCTCGAGACATGAAAGAGACGCTCAGAAGCAAATTGAACTCAATTTTCCCCCAAATTCAATTCACAATGGAGGAAGAAAAAGACGGAGAAATCCCTTTCCTTGATGTCCAGGTGTCGAGACAGGAAGACGGAGCCCTCCAAACTGGTGTCTTTCGAAATGCGACCGATACGACGAAAATCCTCCATTACAGCAGTAACCACCCCTTGTCACATAAGCGCAGTTGCGTGCGGGCACTCTTCCTACGCATCAACACAGACTGCAGCACAGAGGCTGAAAAGTTGCGGGAGCGTAAATCCCTATGGCATCTCTTTCTCTCCAATGGGTACCCACGTAGCTTCACAAACAAATGCCTGTATCAAAGGCACACGAAGACCGACAGTGAACAAAAACAAAAACCTGAATTCTTCCGTGCTTTGTCCTACGTGAGTGAAGCCACTGAACGCAAGCTCAGACCACTCAACGTGGGCCTTGGACACCGGCCGGAGGTCACTATCCGCCGCTTACTCATGCAGCCCAAGGGGCGGCTACCACCTGAGGACACGTCAGGAATTGTTTACCGCGTCAACTCTCTAGACTGTCCGGCCAATTATTGTGGCATGACCGACAAACGATTAAGGTCGCGCATGCATGAGCATTCTCTAGCTGTAAAGCGAAAAGAGGCACGATCGCATGTTGCTATGCACAGCCTCGAAAATGACCATCAATTCGGCTTCGACACGGCAGAAGTAATCGGCCGAGCCGAAAGTAAAATGGCGAGAGAGATAGTCGAAGCCTGGCAATCCAACGCCAACTCGATCAACCGTAGAATCGACCTACCGGCGCCATATGAGGCCGTCAGACACCATTTGGGCAGGAAGGGAGGACCAATGGGAAGAGAGAACAATGGACCTATCAGTAGTGAGTAAGAAAGACCTATTTAGACCTTGTATTCCCACTTTAAATCTATCTCCGATGATGCGCTCAAGTATGAGTGTGAAACGTCAGATGAATAAATCATCCTCCCCAGAGATCTCTTTACCTTCTTCCACAAATATATATATATATAAAGGCTGAATGATATTACCGACAAATACAAGGGAGACTGGAATGGCCATTTCTGGCTTATTAGCCGTCGTCAGCCAGCCATACCCAAGCCCTAAGTGTGGAACACCCGAGCCTCGAACTCGCGACCTGTTGGTTTAGAAGTCAACGCCTCTACTCACCGGGCCACGAGCCCGCTGCCCTGTCGGTTTTCGATCGGGAATATACAATGTTAGGGGGCGCTCACCGATCGTTCATACGGAACTCACTCGTTCCGTTGTAGTGACATTTAAGTCCGTTCTGTTTTTCTCGGTTACAATACGCTTTTTAAAGTACTTGGCACATGTTTGAATGAGACAAAGAAAAAGCACGTGGATTTTTACCTGCTGACGACCTTGGCCTTATTTAGTGGTTTGTGACTGTTGGGATACTGTTATGTTCTTTCCTCGGATGGCCTACTCAATAAGCCCAGCTAATGGCTAGTTTACCTAGAGGGTCATGAAAAGGCAATGACCAGCCAGGCCAAAGTTGACCAAGCCATGATCGCAAAGGGGAGACCACAGAGTCTTGGAAGTAGAGTGAGATCTAACTGTTTCGGTCTTGTGCGTCTTCGTTCACACAATAATAACCCTGACTGGCAGCTGGCATCGGAAACACAAACAGGCGCACGCACGTCGCGCAGTTGATCAACCTCGGGTGTCCATCAGCTGGTTCATAAGCAATTCATCAAACCGAAGTTTATCATCGCTTTCGACCCGCCATTATTTGTTCCTGAAGATAGGGTATTTATATACTGAGGAATAGGCGCACACCGATTCACTGGCTTCCAGTAGGACACAAGTTCGTTATGGGTGATCGAGGTGACAAACAGGCGACCACTTATTATGTCGAAGTCGGCCAAGCTGTGATAGTAAAAGGAAGTTGGCGAGGCACAGATATACTTCGTTTCAATGAAGTGCTTATGCCCTTTTGATAGACCGTAATGGGTGACTTGGGGCATAGGGCGTGTTTTCGCTTGTTCGTGTTTCCGGTGACAGCTGGTTGTCCTAGTTATAATTCTCTAAACGAAGGCAAACAATCCCAAAACTGTTTCGTATCAGTCCATCTCCAGAGTCGGTTATCCCTCGTATGATATACGTACGCCGAATACGGACGGTTAATATGGTCATTTGAAGCTAGCCCGCAACAGAAGATTTTAAATAAGAAACATCCCAGCCATTTTCGCTTATTCAGTCCAATAATATGATATTCGTTGTCAGCGCTAAATATGAACATGGACCTAGAGAGAAATGCAGTTCACCTTTCAAGGATTTTATACAAACGCCATATACAGTGGGTGACCTAAATCATGAAATTTGTCTAAATTGACGAAAGATTGCTAATCACTAGCAAACGGACAAAAAAACGTGCACCCCATATCTATGTTAATAAAGCACAACTATAAGAAAATTAAAAACAAAGAATAAATAAGAAATAAGAACAAATAAAATAAGAATAATGTTGCATTATTTAGAAATTTCAATTAAAAAAATAGAAAATCTCGACAACATAAAAAATAGTTGCGATTAAGTAAACTCCATTTTTTTATTTTACGAAACGTTTGCCTATGCAAAACCTGAGTAAAAATGAAGGCACAAATAGAATAAGAATTAAACACAATGTTTGACTGATATCAGCATTTAACATCCTTTAACCGTAAATGCAATTCCAGGTATGGCGCCTTGCTAATAGCCTACATTCTAATTATCGATTCCAAAACTGTTTTCAGAGGATTCGTGGTAACCTACAGTCTTTTGAATTAATTAAGGTGCAGGTCTATAAGGAAAGCCAGATTGCACTTGATTTCACCAAAAGGGACAGCATGGGAGCAAGCGTTTGTTATAAGGTCGCCTGTTGCCGGGCCGATTAGTACCAAATAATTTTATAATTGGCATGCGTAATCTTAAGCATACCCGTTTATGTTTACAAAGGAGAATTTTTTTTCCTTTAATTAATTTGCAAATTTCGTTTGTATAGGATTACGTGAAGCTTAAGATCGGCCTTGAATTATCCGTGAATATTTTAGGATTTTCAGTGTTTTCATCAAATTGCCTAATAGGACACACTGTGTATTATGTGTCTGTTAAAAACTTTGAAATAAGGTACTTCTTGGAGGCATTTACCAAAGACTCGGGTGTGTGGGCTTTCGTTTTCATTTAAATGTCATCTGGGTCACGATTGAAGACTCACGCAAACAGGAATACTCATTGTCGAATAAAACTGACGTCCACAACGAACGTCAACAACGAATGGGCCTTATATTAATCAAAAAACGTTCGATAAAAAATAAAATATTTAAGGGGTGCTTTGATACCGCATTTCGTTGACGGATGTCTGAGTAATTTAGTTTTTGTGCAGTTTGGCGCAAAGAACCAATTTAATACTTTCGGCTGTTTCTTTCACTTTGCTAAAAGATGCAGATATTTTTCCATCCCAAACATATGAACGTGTTGCCGCTATTTGAATTGTCTTTTCGCTCAACTTTAATTTCCATTCAGCGATTACGAACGCACGGCAGAGTGGTTGTATATAAACGGATATTTTGCTGAAAATGTTAATTGTTTGCTCGATATACTTGTAAATTGGATATGTGAAGAAGCTAGAAAGAATAAAATGTAATATCTCATATGTTCAAAGCTAAAAAGGACAGTTCTGTGGTGGTTGATCCTGTGACAAAGCATATGTTTTTTAAAACGGCAAAATAATAAAAACCCATCAGAACAATGGCTGTAAGCGTTATTCCCGCACTTCAGGGCACCAAAATCGCACAGATTTGCTATCCTGACTTTCCAAAATCGATACATATCTGGTTCCCTTAAAATACCCTTTGCGTTAGGAGGTTGATTACCTTGGTCAACATCGGACAAAAAATTAATTTTCAAATCTGGCAACCTTTGTCTATTAAAACTCTCTAAAGTGAATTATTCTATTTCGCAAGAAAAACCCGCTCAGATATGCAAGCGCAGTCCAGAATAGATATTGGCATATAAAATTGGTCAAGTATTTCGCGACGTCCATTTTCACCCAAATTCATGAACATCTTGCTTGAAAAAATACGTGGAAAAATTTCTGACACGATCAGCACATTTCCTAAGATAGGCTTATTGAGCAAAGAAAATGCACAACTTTTAAGATGTTGTATAATTACACATCAGATTATGTCACCTGGTTACATGAGGTATGTCACGTACTGTACTGCCTCCTTTCCTAGAGATTTTTCAATGCAGGCATCGGTTTTAGTCCTTTAATGTCCTGAAGTAATGCCCATGCTATCAAATGCCCAACCAAAAGTAAATATTTCTGGTTCACAAACTCCAGACTATCATTTAGATTGTAACAGTCCATGTTGATTTTATTCATCTGCCCACCGTACGTTCACTCACCGCATGGATTTATTCGCTCAAATGCATGCCCTTGACAGGGAGATTGACCGCCGTCTTGACACTCCTAGCACCTCCTGCCCATCCACCATGCCTAGCTCAACGTACACGCCTTGTCCAGCACACCCAACACCATCGCCTCCACCACACTCAGCATATCTTGCACATACACCATGCCTAATCCAACGCGCACACTATCGCCCAGCGCGTCCAACATCAGCCACACCACCACCGCCCTCATCTTGAAATTCGACACTGACACTGCCGACATTCCTGTCTTCACACATCGGCCTGGTCAGAAACTTGCAACTCCATTGCATAGAGACTGACGATTTTCTGCTTGAAGCACCCACATACCCTCGCTGCATCCTTCTCTACTGTCCTCACTGCACCCGTACAGTCATCATCGCATGGGCCTGTTAGGCCACATGCGTATTTGCGAACATCTGCGGTAAACGACCAACAACTAAACCTCACCATCACATCAACCTCTACCTGTATCCTGCATCACCATCATTCACCACAATCATCCAACTTTTACCTCCCGCGCAAGTGGGAAATGTACGTTTCGGCTCTGTCTCCACACAGCCCCTGCACCATGTGTAATCTGGAGTCTGAAGCTATCACTGCACGTCAAGCACTGCGGCTCGGAAGGCTGCTAACTGACACGCCAAATCTGTCCCCTCGGTTTGCCTAGTTGTGTACATGTGCGTATGTGTGGGGTGACGAACTGGTGGACTGAAGGCCAGACTGAACCCGATCATTTCTAACATGACCTACGGCACTCACACATATGAGATGCACGCCGCTCAATCCTCGTTGTGTGAAATTCTGGTGTTTGTGTTTGAGGGGCCAGGTCATGCATGTGGCGCGCACAATGTCAGCTACCGCGTCCATTGCCCGCACCTGTCAATCGACGGGCTCTGACGGTGGCTAGGATGTGGGAATGGGAATGGACAGTACAGTCGGCGATTCAGCGCACTTTGCCCACTAAAAAAATCGAGATACTTGAAGATATCACTGTCCGCTGAAAGCCGTGGCTTGGAAGGTTGCCAACTGACGGTACAGTTTGGGTCCTGCAGTTGGAGTGGCCACCTGGTAGTCTGAGACTCAGGCTGAAATGGCTCCTTCTTAGTGTTGCCTTTATGGCACACACACTCCGTGGGATCCGGGTTGGATGTGGAGACACGCCTAGGTGAGGCTCCGGCTGTTTTAACTTCCCCTTGTTTGTTGTTCGGTATAAAAACCTGGTCTTTTTTTGTGTGAACTAGGCAATGTGGAGTGGAACGCCAGGGTGCGGTCTTGACCTTGCAACCTCCCCCCTCCGGTCTTCTTGACTCAGTCTTGACACACAGTCCAAGTGTGGAGTAGGAGAGGGTGCAGTAGATGCAGCAGAAATCTACTAGCCCTATAAACTAATTCACGCATATGGAACCGCCCCTGTTTTACCTTGTTGTACAGCACTCAGTGATCATCGTCTGAAACGACTGTCGAACTGCTGATGCATTTCCTTATTAGATTTGTAGCCTTGAGTTCGCGTCGGTAAGGAAATCGCATCTTTCGAGATTTAAGCAGAACCGTAGAATTAGCGTTTTTAGGCGTACCCATGACTAAGATCGAAAAAGGAAACTGTGCGTAGTCAAATATGAACTATTTCGTCCTTCTTAACATTTCTAGAAATTGCATTTAGTTTCACAGTACGTGACATTTTGGGATAGATTTATCCGTGAGAGAATTAGTTACGGAAATCATGCAGGTACTGCTACTTTTGCCAATCATCAGCGAACTGACAAATCCACCGACCATTGTACCGCCTGTTTTTCCTAATGAGTATGTTAGTTGCTATTGGTCCGGCCTCTGAAGCCCCAACTTCAGACTAATGAAGACGCGCACGCGAGCGACCTTCATCGCGTTTACCGTACGCATCCGTGTTTGGGAAACCTACTCTTTTAAAAGGCATCTCAAGCAGCGTATAGTTTTCCAATACGCGTAATGCGGACAGATTTAGGCCTCGTGATGCCCGAGCACAGACAGGTGGCTTCTCATCAGGAAGCCCAAAGAGCAATTTTCTGTCTAAACGCTAACATATGTCCGATTGCATGTACATTTACAGTCTTCTAGTTCCAATCCTGAGGACGTAGTATTTTCCGAAATATATGTATGTATGTGCTATGTCAACTATGGCGATAAGGAGAGCGGTGGCTAAAAGAAGTCAACTGACCAAATCTGAGTCAGTTTGTTCTCTATTTAAAATCTGCTTTAACTACTGTTGGATGTCCCAACCTTTGGGCGACTTTGAAAATAAAGCTTCAAAGGATCCCGACAGTTATGCCATTGGATGATGACAGGACACCGTCAAAGCCAAGAGAGACCGAATTGCCCTTGCTGACACTTTTGGCTGTCAACGTATGCCAATAGCCACCATGCGACTGTCTGCAAAGGGTTTACGCTGAGCTCCAAGGAATAACAGGTCGACGAGAGCCAAGTCACCACTGCAACACATGCTTTAAGGGATCGGACCTACAAATTTACCAACCATGTGTATGCCCCCGCAGTGGCGTCTTCTCTCTGTCTTTGTCCGTCCGTTTCAGTTATGGTTATTTTCGTAGCAAATCAGGCAATCGGTCTGTGTTCGAAAAACTGATTATTGAATCTCCCTGTTCAAACTTTAATTCAGAAGCCCTATGCCACATTTCGTATGTCCAAGGCGATGCACTGATGTAAAATCTATAATTTTATACACTTAGAACCTAGTGAGCAGTAAGAGAGAGTACGTCGCATTTTTATTTATGGTATTGTTGAAATAAACTGCACTTACTCTCACGCTCTTTAAATATTAAAATTTTTCATGCGAAATCACAGATAATGCACAAAGTCTATCGCAGTGGCAGCGGAGAGCTTTCTGCGTTTTCTAAAAGATCAGAGGTTACATTGGTTTCAGATACGCTGACTGTGCAATTTCAATTGGCAAGCCATTGTTTCACGTCATAGTTAATAGTGACTTACCTTTGCGTTTTTATAGCTGAACAATCTAACAAAAAACGATGTTGCTTTAGGGAATTTTTGATTGCTTTAGCATTCACTCTCATGTTTACATAAATTAACAGAACAATCAAATATACGAAATATAATTCTCATAACGAATATGCGGAACTGGGGCCCATTTGAAGCAAAAGAATATATGTATGTGAAAAAAACCAAATATGACACATTAATATTTAAAACAAAAGGCCAAACAGCCGCAGCT